AAACATACGTAGTAGATAGTATTTGATTAAAGAAGAATTCCCGACTTGCTGACTGGTTTCTCAAGGAGGATTGGGAATAAAACGACGCCCCCCCCCCCTCGTCAGTCGCAATGACGTTAATGATATAAATTAATTAGAGTACAATGATTTATTCTGGATTTAACTTTTAAAATCTGTTTGTGTAGGACGTTCTTGCGGACTGATTACACGTTTTTTTAATTGAATGTGAAGTCAGCAGTTAACTTCATTTTTTATTAACAGTATTTACACGCCTGTTGGTCTCCAATGATCCACCAGTTTTCGGCGTTGAAATCGTAACATCACATTGTCAAGTATAAAAAAATATCAAGTTTAACTGGACTTGGCTCTAACGATTCACTATTAAAAAAAAAAAAACTAATGCAAGTATTATACTAGTTAATTGATAAACTGTTTTATTTCGGCAGATACAGAAGATAGAATGTTCACGAAATGGGTAAACTTTTGTTTCATTATTACCTCATAGCTCTGCTTAACTTTTCGTAAGTCATCTTCGTGTTCTGATTTCGGTCACCCCACAACTTGGCAATTTTCTTAGATTGAACAAATTTAAAAACTCCTTCCTCTTGCCGTTCCCATCGAATGTAAGCCGGATTGTAGTTTGGATTGAGAAGAAGATCACGAATGAACTCCCACAATTTTCCTAGTCCTGTACCTGAAAATTAGAGAAAACAAACTATGTAAAATATCTATCAATACGCAAAGAATTCCGAAAAAGCTTGCAACATTTTTCACAAAATAAAAAGTATCGTACATTGAAACAATATTTATTTAGATTAGCTAAATATCTATTTCTAATAGAATATGCGAAAAGAAGCGGGTTTGTGAAATTGGTAACTATTTTACCGGTAAGTATGCTAGAATTATAATGCAGGTCACAAAACATGACCTCATTAGAAACTGCTGTAACTGGGATTTTAGAACTATAATGCAGGTTACTAAACATGATCTTATTACGAGCTAGTGTAATTAGAGTGTTAAAACTTTAACGCAGTTTCACAAAACAAGGCCTCATTAGGAACTGCTGTAACTGGAGTTTATAGCTTATCTCTAAAGGTGAACAGCTTTCAAATTTCACAAAGGAGAGAAATCAGAAAAGAGTAAATCTTAGCTGTGGGATGTTAATATCTTTGATTCGATACCAAGTTCGACTTAAGATTTCAGAATTAATACCACATGAAATTCATGTCTCTTAAATCAGCCCATTTACAGGTCTCAACCTGTGGACATGCAGCAATAAAAATATGATTCCAACCCTTAATATATAGCGCCAACTAGAAATAAGAGTGTTGAAGGTTAGCTAACAAGTTATATGACTAAAGCATCTACCAAGTAAGCAGAGTTGTAAGTTCGAATCCCGCTTGGACTGAATATCTAAATAAGCTAACTGCGTCAGACACTGTCTCATAAAAGCAGAAGTCTCAACATTTTTTTAAAACAAACTATGAAACAAATCTTGTAAATTATCTGATGAAACAGTGCCAATCGGACCATCCTTAAGCTTTTTCCATCGTACCCATTACAATAGTGTTTGTACCATGATTAACGGAAAAGACCGAGCGATGTTGCGATTGAAAACGTGGCTTGTGAACTATCTGACGAAAAGTGAGTTGAGAGTGTTCGTGTTGTTTTTATGCTGAATTGTCGAGTAGATCAGCTAAAGTACTGTGAATTCAATCTGAATACTCTTAAGTTAACCTTTTACACCAGTTTAACGATTCTGGTAACCTCTAAAAACAGTAACTTAAAACCGCAATACATTTACGTTAACAACTCATATATAATAGTTCTACAGTATTGATCCTGACAGACAAATATATATACTAACTACGTCTAAACCCTAAACCCATTCAAGCCGTCTCCAGCCATTATTAAACGATTAGTATGTTTTCTATGTGTTTTATAAATAATAACCTATTATATGTTTTTTATAGTTAGCCAAATTATAGCGCTTAAAATAAGATTTGAACTAATGCTACTTTTACGAAGCTTAATATATATTGTTGATCTATAACATGGATAAATGGTTAACTATACTTCCTAAGCCAGCTAGATGTCTTGAGATATTATTGGAATTTGGACGAAAATATCGTTCACTTTATTTTTGCCAAGTTTATTGGTAAACAACTTTTTTAGTGCCTGGTTTATTTTTAGATACCCGATAAAATACAACGTACAATAATGTATACTATATTGCTCATCTGAAACTTGAAACCGGTAACTTTGGGAAGGTAGAAGGATAATGTCTTTTATTACAAAATTCCACACTTCCGTGCCAGAGAATGTCATATATGCCACCATGGCAATGGAAGAGATTTTAGCTTATGTTTCGCTAATTTCAGAAAAACTACTCAAGGAATGTCTGTGATAGCTATCCATATTTGATATGCTAGAGGAAAACTATTTATTCAACAACACACACCGCCAACTCTTGAGCTAATTTAATCAAATAGTGGAATTTGACCATCGATCTTATAACGCAACTACGGCCCCCAAAAATAGAACGGCTTAAGTGATAAATCAATACATTTTAATCATTGTGCGCTACAGTCATCTGTTGTAATGATTTATGAAATTTGTTAATTTACGGTTTAATTGCCAAAAGCTGGTTGAGTATTAAAAACCAAAAGTCCTGAACCTTGTAATAAAACCATGTAAACAGCAGATTGTTTTTAATAAGACTCTTCATTTGTCCATTTCAAATTCAGAAACAGAGGAATATAAAAACAGCATTTAGATTTATCTTTTGTCTCCCACAATTCAATGTCATAACTCGTTAATTAGGCTGGACGATGGAATGCTCTTTACATACACACTATAATACCTAAGAAGCCGAAACTTGGCGAAGTATTAGAAACAATCAGGCCGGAAAATGTTGATAAAAATCGCATAAACTGTAGAGATTATTTGTTCAGATTATGTGGGGAAAAAATCTGTAGTTTACGTGATTAAATATTGTTAGTTAAGTTGCTATAATAGGATTGTCCTCGTTGATTTATAAGCAAGTTTTTGAAATTATTATAGTTTCGATCTAAATAGTTAGAGTCAGATTTGATTACAAATACAACAGTATCGCTCAAACAACTTTTTCTCGAGAATTGCATTAAAAAAGTGAAAGTAAATAATGTCTGTGATAAATACAATAAAATAATGCTAGAGCCGTTTGTTTGTTTTTAATTATGCACAAAGCTCCACAAGGGCTATCTGTGCTCTGCCCACCACGGGTATCGAAACCCGGTTTCTAGCGTTGTAAGTCTGCAGACATGCCGCTGTGCCACTGGGGGGCTGCTAGAGCCGATAATTATCGTGAGAAATACGATAAAACAAACAAACAACAACAAAACAATAACTCGTGTTTTGAAGTACTCGTCACAGCTTCCACTCAATTCTACTATTGAATGTATAACTGTGTTTTCTCACCTTGACGGTTTCTACATTTAGCATCAGTTTTCGGAGGTCTTCCTCTTCGTACAGTGTCTTGGCTTTTGATAGCTGGTGACACAACCAAAAGGAAGACAGTTTGGAAGGATTCAGAAAAATTTAAGACAATGATTTCAATTTGAAAATTTTAATTTCTATATATTATGCATAAGAAGTTCAGCAAAAATATGTAAAGAAAAACCCAAATATAGCTTTTAAAAATAAGAAAAAAATCTATATAATAATCGACACGAAAACGTTTGTAATTTCTAATCGTCTTGAAGCTTAAGTTTTAAATATCAAAAAAAAATATTTATTTTAATCTAGAATTTTTTTGATAAATCGTTTATTTTAATATTTACATTTAGAATTAGTCTACGTAATCAAAATTATAAATCTATCTCTCACAATTAGATCACGAAGAGATTTCTAACGTTCCTAATTCAAAGGTCAGAAACTGTGTGCATAGTGACAATACAAGATTATATTGTCATGATACATGTAAATAACTACAGTACTGGGCTATGCAGTTATGGTACATGTATATAGTTAAAGTATTAGATTATGCTTGTATGTTACATGTACATAGTTACAGTATTAGATTATGCTTGTATGTTACATGTACATAGTTACACTATTAGATTATGCTTGTATGTTACATGTACATAGTTACACTATTAGATTACGCTCTTATGTTATATGTACATAATCGCAACACCGAATTATGCTGTTATTGTATATGTACATATTTGCATCAATAAATTAAGCTGTTGTGGTATAGTCATATAACCACAACATGAGATTAACCACCTGTGGTGAATTTACATAGTTACATCACTGAATTATACTGATGTATTGTATATGTAAACAATTATACATAATCTATACTAATAAGCTTATATAGCCAATGTAAACAGTTACTTTGTTCGATCAGTCACGGATAAAGCAGTACACTTACCAAGCTTTTGCATATATCTTTCATTATTACAATAAAAACAGGGGACCAGTTCTCTTTCGCTATCGGTGTTCAAGTCACTTTTGGGGCTCATGTCACCACACTCATAAGAATCTGATTTTTGTAAAATAATCTAGTTAGCTTAAACCATTAGTACTACAGACTCTTTCAGAGTATTGAAGAAAAATTACAAAAATATGCAATAATATGATTATATATATGACAACAGGGGAAGGAATTTTATAAACACAATTGTGTACATGATATTCTTTGATTAATGTGAACCATACAATATCGCACTACCTAAATATTCATTGAAACAAGCATTTATATATAAAGAATTGCTAAATATAGAAACATACCAACAGGGCTGTAGGAAATACTACCTGAAACCTCGAGATCAGTTAGTTTACAATGTAAGCTCTGAAGCCACTAGTTACAAATGATATTTAATTTCAAAATGCAGCGCCGTAGTTGTCAACGCAGACAAACATCTATTTATTCGTAAGACTGTGATATATAGTTCTATATTATCCTTTTGTCCATATTTACAGCACTGTATTGATCATATTATACTGTATGTACATACTTACAGCACTGTATTGATCATATTATACTGTATGTACATACTTACAGCACTAGATTATGGCATTAAGCTATATGTACATAATTACAGAACTAGACAACCACGTCGTGGTGTATGCACATAGTTTTAACACTAGATATTCACGTTGTAGTACATGTACTTAGTTATAACACTAGATTAACCATGCTATGCTATATGTACATAATTACAGAACTAGACAACCGCGTCGTGGTGTATGCACATAGTTTTAACACTAGATATTCACGTTGTAGTACATGTACTTAGTTATAACACTAGATTAACCATGCTATGCTATATGTACATAATTACAAAACTAGACAACCACGTCGTGGTGTATGCACATAGTTTTAACATTAGATATTCACGTTGTAGTACATGTACTTAGTTATAACACTAGATTAACCATACTATGCTATATGTACGTAGGTACAGCACTAGCTTACATTTTTCCGTATATTTTCATATTTACAGACCTACTGTAATAAGTGTAAACCAAGACTAAAATTTATCTACGGACGAAAGAAATCCTAATCTGTTTCCTTGGGTTGTTTAAAATTCACCTACATACGTGTCCCTCTTTTTAGTACGACCTTACACAAAGCTGTTGAAATTAAGTAATTTGTTTGACATTAGAGGGGGCTTAAATTATTGTGTTCTGGTACGTTATACAATTTCCAAAAAATCAATTTGTGGAATTGATTGATTATTAAATCAATAGCCACATTTATTTCACAAGGATAGTATCTAATAATTAAGATATTATTGGGAGAATAAATATTGAACAAATCTTGTGAAAATCACAAGTGACTCGTTGCATTCTTTTGAAATTGTAATATTTAATTAATACGATGAAAACGTTATAGCTGTACAAGATCATTCGCGTTCTTGCATAAGTTTTCTCCAAAATTAGTAAGATATGTAAGCTAAGAATTCTTCCAGGTTTAGTTGAATGAAATTTAAATAATGACGTGAAATAGTTTGAAGAATTACACGAAAATATATTTATTTCAGCGTTCAGTGTCACACATAATTACAATAGGTACTACTTGATAGGCTCTAAATAACAATGATTTTCTTTTTATATCAAACTCTGAGAAACTACTACAAGTGTACTGGTCCAGATGATCTCAAGTTTAAAATACATACCCTCAAATCTGAGGAATACTGTCCTCATTTCGACAAAGGCTCGGCATGGCCAGGTGGTTAGGGCGCTCGACTCGCAATATGCAGGTCGCGGGTTGGAATT